TGACTAAAAGCAACCATTGATCCATGTCAAATGACCGAGACCTAACGGTAAGTTTCCCGGCATTACCATACAGAAAGACAAATTTCCGGATACGCCCCTTGTGCTGCAACAGAACTTTGTTGATTACATACAAACATGAAGATTTCTTGACATATTTGCTAGCCCGCCGATATTTTTTATGGAAGTAACTAAAGAAGTCATGATCAAAGCACAAACGCGTGAGACTGAACCACACATCTCTCCAAACCTTGGACAGAACTGCAGTTTTAGCAGCTTGTTGAACAGGCAAGAGGCCCATAATATGGTCGAGTATCTCTATCGGGAGTTGGCTGATCCGATCCCTTGCAGGTGCGTGACGCCTCACCGCAGGTTTCGCCATAGCAATACTGAATTCTGATGGCTCTGGCATGTGCAATTGAAATAAGAAATGGATTAAAATCTAAAACTAAGACATAACCCTAAAATTGGGGGACTTTGCGAGATGAAATGAACTAGGAACCTTAGAACTGACCCGAGCAACCAAAGCTTATCTTAATTCAAACCAAATCTCTTTTAAGGATTGTCAAATGATTCGAAAGGGAGTGGAAACTCTGAAAATCAGAAAAAAAATCGAGCATGGGATAGAAGAAAACCTGTACCTCCACCGGGAAGGCGGTCGGAGGAGACGATTGATCTTCTGCAGTTCTGCTCAGTAGAGAGAGAGTGTGTGTTACTCCAGTTTCCAGATGTTTCGATGAGAATTAGCGTTAAACAAAGCTTCTTCCATTAGTCACCAAAAAATTAAGAGAGGTTTGAATTTTTTGTCAAATTATGTAACACTTCGATAATAAATTGTGAAAACTATGTATTTAATTTAATACGAATTTAGGAATGTTAGAATCATTTTTTAATATAATTTTAATTTAACAAATTTTTATAATATTTAATTATTTAAATATATATTTAATTTATAGTCAAAATATCGAATGTTTTGACTAAAAAATGTGGTAATCTTTGGGATGAAAAAAATATTTCATTTTAAAAAATAAAATATAGAGTTCAAGTGTTCAACAGCTTTTTTCAAAGAGATGTACCATACACTCGGTTGTATTAGAGTTAAATACACCCAGCAAATATTCATTTAAATTAATAGAATATTCATTTTGAATCAATAAAGTGCCCATATTTAACCGCAATGTTTATTCTTAAAAATGGTCAATATAGTATTCAATCTGAAATAACTTAGCATTCATTTTAAAATAGTATTTTAATTACAAGTTTATCATTATGTACCAAAAAAAGTAGCACGTAACTAATTAGTCTTTCGTATAATTTGTCAATGCTTTCGGGTTATTGGAGAGTTCTAAGCCCCTCTGATTAAACTCAAAGGAAAAATTTAAAATACGAGTAAAACATTGGAAATATATCAAAATAGGAGTTCCCTGTTTTTATTGTCAAAATAAGAGTTAAAATGCATTTACATCACTAATCATGACCATGTAGATTAAAAAAGTGATAGGCATGTCGTAGCACCTACAAATTAATTTATTATTTCCTTAACTCTTAACTCCCTTTATGAATTAATATTAATTAAAACATATAGATAGGGCAAGTAAGGGTCGATCCCACGAGGAAAGATACTTTTTAGGCTATGAAAATCATTTTACTCTGTCACATTTATTGAATAAAAACTGACTAAAATCTAAAACCTAAACTAAAGGATATGGGGGGTTTGAATGATAATTCTAAAAAGAAAAAAATGCAAATAAAATAAAGATAAAGATAACAGTCTAGAGATGGAACCACAGCAGCACCTCGAATTCAGAAGACATTCAGGGAGAAACAAACACACAAACAAACACGCATTTAAACTTTATAAAAACGTAGACAGTAATAATTAACTTAAACCATTTTGAAAATACTTATAATTTTTAATAGAAAATAAACTGAACAAATCTGATTAATCCATTAATTATGCCTTGATTCTGAAATTAAACTGCTAATTAAACTCAGGGTTAGGCTGAAGAAGAGGTCCACCAACGGCTCTTCCCTATTTTCCCATTCATATTAGCTC